TTCTTCTCCAGGAGCTAGTCTCTCCTGAGAACATGTCCAAAGTATGTGAGACAACTCTCGGCATCCTCACTTTTAATAAGCATTCTGGCTGTACTTCTTCCAAGACAAATTTATTCATTCATATGGCGTTCCATGGTATATTCAATATTCTTTACCAAGACCATAATTCAAAGGCATCAATTCTTCTTCGGTCTTCCTTATTCCTTGTCCAGCTTTCACATGCATATGAGGTGATTGAAAACACCATGGTTTGGGTCAGGCGCACCTTAGTCCTTAAAGTGACATCTTTGCTTTTTAACACTTTAAAGAGATCTTTTGCAGCACATTTGCCCAGTGCAATGCGTCGTTTGATTTCTTGACTGCTGCTTCCATGGTCGTTGTTTGTGGATCCAAGTAAAATGAAATCCTTGACAACTTCAGACTTTTATCATGATGTTGCTTTTTGGTCCAGTTATGAAGATTTTTGTTTTCTTACGATGTAATCCAAACTGAAAGCTGTGGTCTTTGATCTTCATCAGCAAATGCTTCAAGTCCTCTTCACTTTCAACAAGCAAGCTTGTGTCATCTGCATATTGCAGGTTGTTAATGAGTCTTCCTCCAATCCTGATGCCCCATTCTTTTTCATATAGTCCAGCTTCTCTGGTTATTTGCTGGCCATACAGATGGAATAAGTATGGCGAAAGGATACAGCTGTGGCAAACATCCTACCTGACTTTAAACCACGCAGTATCCCCTTGCTCTGTTCAAATGACTTTCTCTTGGTCTAACTACAGGTTCCTCATGAGCACAATTAAGTGTTGCGGAATGACCATTCTTCACAATGTTATCCATAATTTGTTATGATCCATACAGTCGAATATTTACAATCAGAAACTGATATCAAAGATAGTAAGGTAGAGGTGGAACTGACAGATTTTCTGTTCCTTCCTCTGCCTCCAGAGATGCCATAGCAAAAGCTTGACTATATGTAGAATGCCGATATTATCTAACTTGCTTTTGAAAGTTATCTTTGAGCTATTTTTTCCAGGATTTAGGTCCCTGTGTGGCTCGAACAGTTAAGCGCTTGACTACTAGCCAAAAGGTTGGTGGTTCAAACCTACCCATAGCCACCTCATAAGACAGGCCTGTGATCTGCTTCCTAAAGGTCACATCTTTGAAAACCCTATGGAGCAGTTCTACTCTGCATACATGAGGTCGCCGTGAGTCAGAATCGACTACACAACAACCAACAACAACCTGGCACACTGTTTTGGGTGTTGTCAGTGGTAGTAAACCTTCCTCTTTTGAGAATGGATCTAAGTTAGGGAAATGACTAAATTTTGGAGGCATCACTGGAGAATAAGGGGAAGATCAAAATGAGTAATTTCATTTTTCATCCAAATAAGGGGTAATTCCAAACTATTGCAAATACTTTTCCTGTGTCACTAGGCTCATGTATCCATGTTATATTGGGAAACGAGTATCAGTATTAGAAGGCAAACAATCTTGGGTATTTGGGGGCTGGGGTATTAGAAATACAGCACTGTTTCATCATCTTGAAATGGTCACTGCAAACAGGGTAAGCGAAGTACATTAGCTCAGGTGGACGTTCTGATCAATTCCTGGTTTAAATCTCAATGACATCCTTATTCTGGACTAATTGGGTGGGGGACAGTGACTGACCTAAGATAAAGAGAGGAAAATGGGCAACGCTGACCAAATGTCTATTAACTGCACGTGTCATAAAGGTATTGTAGAAGTGAGGTACCTAGAAAAATAGGGAATATAGGCGAGTAGATAATTGAATATGTGCCATGAAGAGGGAAAGGATAAGAAGAGAGAATTGAGAGAGAAAAGGGATAGTCAGGAGAGGAAAGGCATTGTTGCAAAATTACATTCGTTTGGAGAATTAGATGGGTTCCTGGGGAAGAAAAGTGCCTTCTGAATTAGGTGAATTGTGATTCTTATGAAGTCTTGTAAAGCTTGTGCCTGCTGTTGGGCCAAAGCCAAGTGTTTCCAGATGGCCAAGGGAACCAGGGGGCCCCTTGACAACTCACTCCAGAGTCTAAAACAAGTGGAAGTGAATGGTGTGGCTCCTCATTAAGACTGTCTGTGTATTCAGACAATGGCATCGTTTGTCAAACATTCAGCTGGTGCTGTGGCTGCTGTTCCATCACAGAACCTATTTCACGTAAGAACAGAAGAACAGGTCTTGTTAATAAAGCATATTGCTTGATCCTATAGTGTCTAGACGACATGCAATACTTTGCAGGGAATAAAATAAAATAGATCCAGTGATAGTTTTATAGCAAGTCCCCCGTTTTATCCTCCTTTTTATATGCCGTGTGAAATCACCAACTTCTGAACGAATTTTGAGATTTAATATATATATATGTCAGTACACATATATCCATGTATAACATAAATCACAGCAGAGTTTGCCTCGATGAGTTTTAATAGTGAAAGATCTATACGTATGTGAAGAATGGACATAATCATCAAACACGTTAAAGGTGGTTTTCAACTTCTGAACCCAAAGACAAAAATATATATATGTATATATATGGACACCAGTAAGAGGCTGAAATTTCATCTTTACATTATGTTAAGGTATGAAATAAATGTAAAGAGATACGTACAATACAGTTATTATCTGAGATACATCAGTTTACTCTGCAGAAGATTTGTAATAAAGGAAAAAATGTCAATTGATACATCACACAGAGGAAAACCAGAAAGGCCAGAAAACTTCTTATGTTAGAAAGACAAAGTGAGTTGGAGACCAGGGAATACTTAAAAGAAAATGGACATATTTGATAAACAAAGCCCACTCAAATAAATAGCCAATCTTGTTTTCCTTTTAAATAATATCATGCAATATTTACTGAAAAATCATTGCTTATTGTTTATTGCTTGTCTGAAATTCGCTATTGAAATCTATGTGTATTTTAGCAATGCTCGTATTCATGAAACAAATATATTTTTCTATAGACAGTATGTTTCTGGGAAGGAAGTAAAATGACCTAAGATAGTGTTGGCATTATTATCCTTTAAATGGGGTTAATTAATTTAATAGAATATTTGACATTATTGCTCTGGGTTGTTAGATTGGGTTACTAATGGATAATATTAATTCCATGGATTAAAATAAATGTTGAGACTGAAAAATATATTAATTCCCTCAAAACCATGCAGTTGATCGGGATGGATGGCCTGAAGCCCTGTGCTGTGGTCAATTTCTATGGAACATTTTTGGGATCCATCTTGGACAAAAGAACTCTTAGTTCTTAGAATGCTATGATCAGATATGTGTTTTCTGAAGTTCTGGCTAGATTGTGGAGAACTGAAAGGAAGGGGCAGAAGTGGGTGAGAAAGGACAGTTGGAGACATATTCAGCAACCAAGGTGAGAGGAGCAGTATTATCCATTAGTTAAGAGCATGGACTCTGAAGCCACACTGTCTAGGTTTGAATCCAGTGTCCGTCACTTACTAGCTGTGTGACCTTGGCAAGACATTCAATCTTCCTATTCTTTCGTATCCTTATGAGTGATATGATAATAATAATAGTTCCCACCTCAAGGAATATTGTGGGAAATAAATAATGTACCATAGGAAATATCAGGCAATGTCAAGCACTATATAAGTGTATGCTGTGTGTGAATCAGGAATGGTTTGAGTAGTGACAGAGATGAGTGAAGCAAATTTGAGTGTATTTAGGCATTAGAGTCAACATGGCTTAGTAACTGATTGAATGTGGAGAAATAGTGGGAAGGTAGTGTCATACACCATTCACTCAGATAGAAATATTAAAAGAAGGCAAATTGTGGTAGTAATGGGCATTTTCAAATAAAATAATATTATTCGGTTCATAATGATGAACCTGAGATAAAGTGTTTTGGTGTTGCTCTTTGTTTTTTATGAAGTGGAAAATCTGTGTTATAACTTATAAGTAATGATTTTTACTTGCACTCTTTTTTATGGTTGTTATTATTAGCTGCCATGGCCATGGAGTCAATTCTGACTCATGGCAACCCTATGTGTGCACAGTAGAACTGCTCCATAGGTTTTCAACGCTGTGACCTTTCGGAAGCAGATCACCAGACCTGTCTTCCAATGGGCCTCTGGGTGGGTTCAAACTGCCAACTTTTTGGCTAGTAGTCAAGCATCTAACCATTTGCGCACCCAGGGATGTTTCGACTTCTGTTTTTAAAGCATAATGTACATATTTCTTGATGATCTAGATAATATATAAGAGCATCAGGGACTGTGCTGTGATGAATACAATGAGATTAGACAAGACTGAGGAAGACTCTGCCCCCTGGCCCTACAATAATGGCCCCAGACAGTTTATTTTCTCCAGCTGAGTTTCATTAACCTTCACCCTTGCTGTCTGTCCTGTTTCCATTTTTGAGATATGTCTCAACGTGCATGCAGGACAGAAGCCACTTTCCTTGTTGTTTTCCTGAAACTGCCCTGGGTATGAGAAGAGTTTTTGGGACATCCGACTGTTATTCTTTTTTTCCAAATATATATGGAAGTTGTTATAAAATTTCCATTTTTAAGTGATCATTGGTTCCTTCTTCTCTGGAATGCCTTGCTTTTGCCCCTCCAACTATCCAAGTTGTAAATTCAGCCCCGCTGTGGACTTGGTGAAGCCTTTGTCTCTTCATCCACTTACCTTCCTTTTCTCCAAACTCCAAGTGGATTTGTAGTGAGTACCCTGCAGGTTAAAAAAAAAGATTTTTCTAATACTTTCTTTGTAAATTGTTCTTTCTTTTCACACAGATTTTTATCTTCTTGAGAATAAGCACACAGCTTTATAATTTTTGAATTATTCAAGTAGAGTTCTATGTAAAGACACTCTCATAAATTTTGATGGGTCATTAATATAAACCCTATATGTCTTTCAATCTATTAATTATTTTGTATTTTATATAAATGGACATCAAGTTTGAAGCAAATCCATATGATTGTATGCAAATTTAAATGATTTATGCTTTCTCTTTCCCCTTTTCTCCTAGTCTGCTCCCAGTTTTCAAGAGGAGTCTATGCCATTTTTGGATTTTATGACAAGAAGTCTGTAAATACCATCACATCATTTTGTGGAACGCTCCATGTCTCCTTCATCACTCCCAGCTTCCCTACAGATGGCACACACCCATTTGTCATTCAGATGAGACCTGACCTCAAAGGAGCACTTCTTAGCTTGATCGAATACTATCAATGGGATAAGTTTGCATATCTCTATGACAGTGACCGAGGTAAGTGACAAACTCTCTTTCTTTGTAATGGGGCATATTTAAAGCCTGTATTTGTCACTTATATGTGATGTTATAGAGCTGTAAAGGTGTATTAGAATCCAAGAATCACTTGGTTTAATTTTGCTGTATAAATGAGTAATTCATTTGGAAATCTGGGAAACATATTTAGTGTATCACAAAAAAAATAGTGAATGCCAATTTACAGATATAGACTGTCAACACTCTGCCCAAATGTGCAGTTGTAACATAAAAAAACATATTCTGGTGTATGGTAGTTAAGACCCCATAAGGAGTATATCACTAGTCTAAGTGAGTGAAGTGGCTGCCTTGAAAAGTGGTTTAAGTAAAATTTAAATAAACATATAATAAGAAATTTTATACTTATATACAGTTATTAGGCATTTCACATCTGAAATTTTTATCAGGCAGATAGCATTATTATTACCCTGGCTTTAACATAAGATCCCTGAATATCAGAGAAGTTGCAAGTCTTGCCCAGGATCAATACAGGTCTGCTGACACTAGAGAAGTATATATATATATATATATATATACACATATGTATTATACAGTTCTACAGGATTGCTTATGATGTGACAATTCTGATTAGCTTGCCAGTCAGATAGAGACTTTTCTCATTATACTCAGTTCGTTGGGGGTGGGGTAGGGTGGGTTTTACTTCAGTTGATGATTCTCATGTTGTGGTTTGGTATTGGCAGACTTGCCTAACTTACCTATCACAGAATCCCAGATTTTCTTAATCATTCCTGGATCCATGCTTTGGCTTCAGTGAGTAATATATCTCCCTAAAATTTTATGAGACATTCTGTGTGTATGTTCCAGAAAGCATCCATAAGCAAACTCAAAAGGGTTAAGGCCCTCTGTTGTAAGAGTACCTAAGTACCAGAGTGTGCTCCTTCAGCAGTTTGCTTCCTGGAATATTTAAAGACTCAGATGAAAGTCAGAAGCCTGTTTCAACCAAGATAGGCACCTTGTTAACCCACACGGGCAGACAAGAAAAGAGCCAGCAGTCAGTCAATTCTCCATTGATTAGTTTGTGGCCATTTTGCTGCAGTAATGAGTCAGGAGTGCTCAGGCTAGGTGTCTGATTCTCTGTCCCGTCATCCTGGTCATGAGCATGAAACTGTTCAGTGGAAAAACAAGTCAGCACTATACAAGATGGAAAAAAAAAAAAAATTTTACCGACAACTGTTTTCTTTCTGCTTTGAGAAGGGAGAGCTTTGCTGTTCTCTTGGGGAATGGAACACTAAAACATTGAACCCTTTAGAGTAAATATGGATTCCAATGTGCTGGATGATTCTGAAGCATACTTCTTACTAATGTGATAAAAGTGCTTATAAAACTTAGCTTACTAAATTCTGTTTTTTTTCTTGCTCTCAGTTAACTCACTTAGTACTCTGTCATGTTAGTAAAACTAGCTAGACATCTGGGAGTGTTCTTAACACCGCCTTCACCCTTGCACCATACGGATGTGATTCCTACCGCCTGAATCATTTTCCATCTATGCGCTCTTTTTCCTCCTCACCGGTATTCCAGTCCAGGCCACCCTTGTACATTTAGTACCTTGTTTCTCCACCTCCACGCTTATCTTTCTTTAATCTATTTTTTAAATGTAGGCAAAATTATTTTTAAAATGCTTTTCTGACCACGTAACTCCACTATTTAAAATAAGTCAATGGCTTCTCATTATAATGAGGATAGAATTGAAAAAAAAAACAAAAAAACTTAACATGGCTTTAAGGTCTTTATAGTATCTGGTTCCTGCCCAGCTCTCTAACTTCTGCTACTGCCCTGTTCACTCGCTAAGCTAAACCTACCTGGTTTTCTTTCACTTTCTCAGATGCTCCAAACTCCTTCCCCGTAAATTTCTGCATGCATCTCCCTAGTTCTCACCCCTCCTTCATGTCTGAGTTTATGTATCATTTCCTCAGAGATGCCTTTTATATATTTTCTCTCAAAGCAGTCTCTTCTTCTCCTTCATTAATTTATCTGACGTTCTTATCACAATTTATAATTAATAGTTGTGTTCATTCTTTCTTCTAGAACAGCTTATGGAGCTCCTGCTATGTTCTGGGGACTATTTTCGTCCCATGGGCTAAGTGCTGTGTTTTTTATTTAAGGTCTGGCTATGAGCTGCAGGACGGCAATGTCCAGACATGTTGTGTTCACTACTCTACACCTGGTGCTTAAGATAATGCTGCAACAGAGTTGATGTTTAATACATAGTTCTTAACAAGTGAATGAGTCAAACATATATGTATTTTGAGCTTGAGATGGTATTAGAAGTTGAGTCTTAACTTGCTAATTTAAAAGACCAGAAGATGAATTCTTGCATGTATCCTTTTGGTCTTTACCATTTGACAAGTTTGAAGGTGGCATTTTTAGTTTAGGAAATTATTTCACCCTCATCCTCACCCTCACTATTATGCCCTCAAGGTAAAACTGAACTTCTGAGAAAATTAAAATAGACAACAGCTGACAAACAGAAGAAAGGAAACTCCAGTATTTAAAGAGAGACAAGCTCTGGGGAATTATCAGTGAAGGTGGATAGATCCATGTAGTGGTGAAGAGAATCTGGGAAATTTTAAAATGGTTTTATTAATACTTTAAACATACTAAATGAAACTGAGGGGATGAGATAATCTCCAGTCATTAAATTATACAAATTGATTTGCGTTCAAGCGCGTCTTCTGAGAGATGAACATTAAACCGATAATATGAAGTAACTATATATTAAAGTCAAAAATGACCTTATGGATGCATTTTCAAGATGTTATCAAGTAGTGCTTATGATTTAATATGAAGGGTATTACACTGGTATTACTCTGAAATTATTTTCAGAGATAAATGTGTAAGAATCTCAAAATACTGGCTATAGACTTGGCTTTTTTAATGCGTTATTTGGCACATAGAAATAGAATTTTTGCCCTATGATTTCTTTCCCTATTTATCACTTAACTTTTATGACTTTGCCATCATATTACTTTAAAAAAATGTGTTCATGAATTCATCATGGAAACTTGTTTCTTTTTTTCTTTTTTGTTTTGGTCTTTTACCGATTTCTCTTACACACCGAGGTGGCACTTACTCACTGTTAGTTTTATGTTATGTGGAGAATGCACCCATGTTCCCTTTGTCCGTATCATTCATGCCTTTAACATGGATGCCGTGATTTCATCTCTCAACTTACATCTCTGCATGCCTTCATTCCAAACTATTTAGTCTGTTTTAATGTGACACTCTCTCCACTTCTATGATTATACGGCTTTGTTTAGTTTCTAAAATTTTTTGCCTTTTCTGAGAGTCTAGGTCGGGTAGACATATTGTTAAGTTTTAATTTCTCAATAGATTCATTGATGGTTTTTTAAATAGCAGGCCCAAGGGTAAAAATGGCCCCCCAACATTCTGCCCTGATTATGAGCTAGATGAAAAAGACTAAAATTGTTCTGTGTGTGTTCATTGCACTACCCTTAACTATGACTTCAATTAAACTATCCTTTCGTCCCATCTATCCACCCAAATGCTGGACAACAAGTCAGGAGACTACATCCCAGCTGTACCCAAGGGAGGCTGGGGATGCACCCCATCTGGGTACAGAAACGTCTTTAACTAGTTTAAACTCACTGGTGGGCACAATGTTGAAGTCGTTCTCACCTGGGGCACATGACCTTCTAGGACTGCTCGTGTCTTCTCTTTACTGGAGGCATGTGACAGCAGCCTGGCACTCCTTGATGATCTCATAACTTTCCTAAAAGTTGCACGTTATTACTCTGTAGAGAGTAGGGAGACAGATCTTTAATACATTTTTTAACGATAGCATAGTGGGCTTTCCTATGTTAATGCATTAAACATTATAGTTTTATCTTTGAATATATGTGCAGCAAATTTGAATCAGGACTTAATAAGAACATGGTTTTTATTTATTGGTTCACCATCAACCAGGTAAAAGTAATACATTTCTACAGACGGTAGGTAAAACTGGAACTAATGCTTTGCCTCTTTGTGTCTTAGTTTTAAATTTAAGCAATGTTATATGTCCTCAGAAGGGAAGGCACTTTGATCCCGGTTCTATTCATAGAACAAAAATACTTCCAAATTATAAATTTCTTCTCAGATGCCCCGAGAAAGCCCATCAAGGAAATGTATGTTAATCTAATCTGGCCTAGGCAAGCTGCCATGATTTAGTGATCATAAATATTAACTTCTATGCCTGAAAGAATGAAAAAGGGCAGTGAATTTTAAATGAAGCGTAGAAAATATTTTTAAGAAAAAGGACATGGTCTGAATAAAATATACCTATTGGCAGTAATCGTTCTTAATTTCACCCTTTATAGTGCAAAGTAAGACATTTAGATTTCACCTGCTTTTAGGCCGGTGGCTTTTCTACAACTCTCCCACGGTGTTACTAACATGAGCTCAAAATGAGAATATGATCTACTGCTAGTAATACTTTGAGAGACATTTAGGGGAGCTGTCAGGTTAAAAATACCTTATAGAGCTATAAAACCTGTTACCATTGAGTCAATTCTGACTCATAGCTACCCTAGAGCCAGTCATTAAGAATTAGACACATTCAGAAGTGATATAATTCCATGGTACTTTATAGGGCATTCTTTATTTAAGCCAAAAGATTGAGAATTCAGTAGAATTTAGAAAATTTTACATTATAGTGATATGTTTGAGGTTTTTAATACATATTATGTTTTATATGTAATTATTAGAGGAATTTCTAGATTTTTTTCTATATTTAGATCATCAACTGTGTATCGCAACAATTTTCTTTTTCTCTCCAAGTAATTTAATAATAAAGAATTAGTCTTTGCTATAATAATTCAAAGTACACTTATATAATAGTATGGGTATTAGAGTTGAATGATCACTATGTATTAATGGCTTTAAATAAATCAATATTTATATACAATTCCCATTGCCCACATAAATTTATATTCTGAATTAAATGATGAATGTATTTATAAGGA